CTTAACTTACTTTGCCAGTGCCTACTCTATTGAAGAACTGGGTTTTCATTCTCGAGAAGAAACTTGTGGAAGGGCGTGTTTCCTATCACAGGTTCACATGCTGATTTTTTGGCTGGTGAATTTCCTTCGTGTGACTTCTGCCAGGTAATTATGAAGATTTTTTGTTTGTTTGTTTTCTTGCTGAATATTTCATGAAGGCTACGAAGTTAGCACAGGCAAGTCCTGGGTGTGAAAGCTTTAATTTATCTACCTCATTTATTTTTTATGTTTTGTAGCCATAGTGTATATGTTCTTATTTTAAGACCACGGAAGTATTCCCAGGCCCTATCTAAAACTGAAGAGTTGAGGTATTAGTGGGAAGAGCTGAACGTTCAAGATGATTTCGTGATGGCTTTTTTTTTTTTTGGTAGTCTCCTTTTGTATATGTGCTATTCAGCAAATGAAACATTGCTTTTGTTTAAAAAGAAAGGAGAAAGAAAGAAGAAAACTCTAACTTCTGGGAGAAAAAATCTTTCCCCTCTATGTGGAAGGTTCTGATGGAAATGTGGATCCAAGACTCTTGGCCAAAGTGTTGTCTCCTCATCGTTGCACCTGACTTTAGGATCCCCCCCACACATTTTTTTTTTTTTTGCCAAGTTGTGCCTTTCCTTCTGGAATTGTAAGTGAACACAATACTAGTACCTGTTTACACTGTGAAGTGGATATTGTTACAGAAAACACACCAGTGGCTATCTTGACTGTTGAGCTAATGCCTTGTGAATGTATGATCTACGGAGAAACCCCTGTAGTTGTACTTGCTGATGCTGTCTGTCTGTTGGAAAATAAATTTTGAATGTTTTTTTTTCCCAAAAAAAAAAAGAAAGAAATCCAGAATTTCAGAAAAATTAGCTAGCAGACTGGAGGTGTTGAACCCTGGAGAGCAGGTCTGGGAATAGATAGAAGTTAAAGTAACTTATAAATTACACTGCAGATATCCTAAAAGCGTAACTTGAATCTCACTTCATCAATATAATTTTATTGCAATAATATTAAGAATAATCTTACCAGATTAAGAATTCATCTTACCAGAGGATAGTTTTAAACACACATACATATGCCAGTTCTCTTCTTCAAAAGTTCTTCTTGGGCCTTGCATGGAGGCTTACACCTGTTATCCCAACACTTTAGGAGGCTGAGGCAGGAGGATCCTTTTAGCCCAGTAGCTCAAAATCAGCCTGGGCAACATAGAGAGACCCCCATCTCTATGAAAACAAAAAAATTAGCCGGGCATGGTGGTGTGCACCTGTGGTCCCAGCTACTTGGTAGGCAGAGCTGGTAGGATCTCTTGAGCCCTAGAGTTTAGGCTGCAGTGAGCTGTGATTACATCATTGCACTCCAGCCTGGGCAACAGGGCAAGATGGTGTCTCAGAAAAAAAAAAAAAGAAAGAAAGAAAGAAAAGTTTGTGTCAGGTTTATAGTATTAGTACAGCCTAAGGAAGACATATATTCAAGCCTTTCACAAATATGTCTCACCATACATTCCTTCATTGACCTCCAAAAAATAATCGGTATGTATTAATACAAATGGAATATTTTAATCCTTTCTTTTAAGACCATATACAGACAGTCTAACTGTCTCCCAAATTTCTAAGAAGGATCAGGAAGCCTATGTCTCTGTGATTACTTTTGGCTCCGCGTCTACTAATGACCAATTTGCATTTG